TCCCTCCTCCTCCTTCCCCTCCTCCTCCTCTCTCTCTCTCTCTCTCTCTCTCTCTTTCTCTCTCTCTCTCTTTCTCCTCGCGAAAAGTACCATGTAAAAATTAACCGCGACATGACGAAAACACACGCTTCGAAAACATCGCAGCTGCCGTGTTACAAAGTCGTTATTTTATTGAGATTTGCCAGCGTCACGTATGAATGACACTCTTATACTTCCGTTATAGTTGCGTCACTCGAACATGTAACATATGACGCCAAATTGATTTCGCCCCGGAGATGAACGAGCGCTACAGTCTCAAGTTTTCCTAATTAATTCCTACACTGAGAAAAATGGTTTTATTATATTAATAAAACGCTTCTGGTTGAGCGTATTCTTGTCTAATGAAATAAGAATTTCTGGTTATCGTAACAAGATTTTACATTTTATAACTACACCGTTTGGTTAACTTTACTATAAAGATTAAATATTTTCTTGTTGGATCTATAAAACTTCACGTTATATTTATATAAATCGCAGCGCTCTGCAACAGTTTCGTCATCACTCACTAAACGGTTGATCAACTGTTCGCCGCATTCATTTGTTACACTGCTACTGCGTTTTCGCTACTCGCGGCGCAGTAGCAGTGTAACAAATGCAGTCGAAACAGATCTCGTCAACTGATCTCGCCGAAAGTTTACGTCGCGTCGTGGAATCCATTACGGAATATTAGTTAGGCTGATGGCAGAGAACGAGAAGTAAGCACTTATGTCTGTCGTAAACGTATGGTAAGGCAGAGAAAAACGTAAGTCGTGAAAGGTTATTGTGTAGATACGTTTCACGACTTACGTTTTTTTCTGCCTTACCATACGTACACGACAGACATCCACGACAGACATAAGTGCTTACGTCTCGTTCTCTGCCATCAGCCTTACATCCGAAAAGTTTTATGATTACGTGGTGTTTGTTTTTCGTAATGAAATATATGTATACCAGTGATGCGATGTTTCCTACCGGGCTCCCGGCTCCCGAGCCCCACGCAAGCGAGACCATGTACGCGCTTCTTGCTTGCATGGGGCTCGGGAGCCGGGAGCCCGGTAGGAAACATCACATCACTGAGTATACTTTAAACCAAAATATATTGTTAGTATTTTTAAAAAACCACACCTATCCAAACTTGTTTTTTAACTACAAAGTTGCGTTAACCTAACAAAACGATATAATAAAGTTAACAAGAAATTCTGGTAGATTTTTGTAAACCTAACAAAACGATGTAGTAAGGTTAACAAGAAATTCTGGTAGATTTAAACAGGATGGAATTCAACAGAATCTTCTGGTAATTTCAACAACAAATTTGTTTCGTCCATTTTCGAACAAACGGACTAGTAGAATCAACCAGAATTTCTTATAATACAACAAAACTTTTTTTTCAGTGTACGATCAACCTGCAGCAAACCGTTTCTTTCCAACTGTTACAGATAAGCAGACAGAGTATAGACGCCTGCAAGGATTACTTCAGGGACGACCTGCTGAAGACCGACTGGCAGCTGATGAAGGAACTGAAGACGCTCTTCCAGATACTCTAGGACACGAGGAGGGTCGCGGCCGCGAAATTGTCCAAGGGCCTCTCGTTTATCCGGCGGTTGATTGAGAAAAATCAGTCGGTCGGCGAGTTTCGATATCGCAAGGGTTACTTCGGGGTGTTCCTTAACCCCCCTCCGTCAAACGTTTCCGCGATTGAGTCGTCGTGCCGATTGACACCGTCGCGATAAAATATATATCGGTAACACAGTACATTCGATATATGTCTGCTTTCCATTCCGATCGCAGATCGACATCTCTCGCCCTTTCTCATGCTCTTGTCGCATACAATCTTCAAGAGTACGCTGTGAAGAAAAAATGCGATGACAAACTCGCATGCGCCGCTCGCGGATTTCACGGGTAATTGACGGAGCATGCGCTATTGTGTTGGATTCCGATCGCGTTCGGAATATTTACAGTATCGCGATTCGGTATTCTTGAATCTTGCCGACCGAGAAGGAGAACGTGAAGTTAGTTGCATCGGAGAGGAGCTTCTTGGAAGTGCGCAATCGTGAGAAGGAGAGAATCACTCCGGATGGAACGTCGCGGACAGCGACGACGTTGTAGATACGCCGAACAGGGAAGACAGAGACAAGAGAAAATGAGAGGAGAGGAAAGAAGAGAAGAAGAAGAAGAAGTATAATGCTGAAGAACAAAATCGAGCGAGAACCTCGTGTGTTTTGTATATGTTAATCCCTTTTTATGATAAACAAAGTATTGCGATCGGAAAATAAAGACTACACTTTTTCGCAAAAAAAAAAAGAAACAAGTTCCTCATTTATACACCCGTCTCATGTCATCTTTCTTTGCTGTCCAAACGCCATTTCCATCTTTCCATCTACTATTTTATACTCTCTAAATTTCTTAGAGTGAAATCTAACTCCAAACGAGTGGATATTCACTTTTCACAAAAATGATTGTTTAACTCTAACGTAGAGTAAAGTATTACTTTCATTCATATGTACATAAATATAATTAATGAACTTGTACCAAATTTAAATTATAAAATAAGCATAATCTTTGCTCTTACATTACTGAAAGTATTAATTAAATTTAATATCCTTTTCTTTGGGCCAGTTTTAATTTTTAATTCTTTTAAATCAATTTCAATTAGCGCCATGAAAGCGTAACCATCAACTCCTTCATCTGAAATATAGACATATAATTTGACTTAAAGAAATATATTTAAAAAATTAGAAACAATTTAATAATAAATACAACGGACATATACTATAATATTTACACTTTAGTGTTGTTTCCATATCTTCATATCTTGATATCTCCATAACTTCCATATTATTTATAATATAATTCTTTTTAAATAAATTAATTAAAATTTTAATATTGTGTATGTAGATAAATATATAGATGAAAAATAAAAAGTAAGTTGTAATTATATACAAGATATAGTTATAAAATATTTTTATAATATATGCTGAAGAACAATATAAGACAAATTAGTCTTAAAATCAGTCCATAATGCAAATGGTTTCAGACAACTACATCATCATAATACAGTTGTATTCTTAATCTGCATCTGGATAACGATGAAAAAATGGATGTTGTTTATATATAACTGATTCCATCTTTAAAATTTACAAGTAAATTATCTGAACTATTTGGTTCAGAACGAACATAATTCCGCATCGACGAATAAGACATTATTAATTTCAACGTTTCAATAATTGGGATATATTGAAAGGTTTCATAAATTTTTTTGGAATCCACATTTGTTCATTTTGATCAAAATATTGCTGTAGTCTGAATCCAAGAGGTATTTCGATTGGGTCTATATAATGATAAGTATTTTTAACTGCTTTTATCTGATCTTGTAAGGCATCAGTTTTTTTCAAATAAATTATCAAAATTTAACTTATTTAATAATTCCTGAATATCAAGAGATTCTACGCTTGTATTCTGCTTTTTACAAAAATTTAACATTTTCTCACGAATAAAATCAGAAATATCTGAAATTAAGCATTGTGATGCACTTATCACAGCAGTCATAGCTGTACCAGTGAAACCAGACAATATTCTTAAATTTACAATAAATTTTAGTGCACTCTTGGAGAGATCAAATTCTTTTGATGATTCTTGAAAATTAATATTATCATAATCTTTATTTTCAGGTATTTCTTCTTCTAATGATTGTATTTCTATTTTTGATGAAGTATTGAGACTATCAGATTTTATGGATGAGTAAATATTTGAATTACATATCTCATCAGAGATAACATGCCATTTTTTAATGTGACGAAGTAAAGAATCAAATCTTAAAAAATGTTTATCACAATTTTCTTGTTTACAATAAAACCCTGATGAGTAAGATCTGCTAACCATAATAGCATGATGGCAACGGAAGTGTAAAGAATATTGTCTAATTGTGGTTAATAACGTTTCACATTTAAAACATTTAAGTAAAGTCATTGTGCTTTTTATAATATTGAAAGTTATCTTTTTAAATTTAAAAGCAAAAGTAAATCAAAATTAATATGTAAATGTATTTTTTGATTTTAACTTTAATCCACCCTGTTTGGGGTATCTGTAATACAAATAAAAATTGCATATGAGAAAATAAAATTAAAATTATAGTTGGGTAATGTTATAGCAGTAATGTAATTATGTATATTAATAAACATTAATAATAAATTATATTCTGACTTTTTGTGTGGACGAGCTACATATTTATTAAATAATTTTACTAATAATTTTAATTATA